CGGAGGGGTATTGTCTGGCGGTACATAGAAGAAGAATATGGATAAAAAGGGCTTTGGTTTGTTAGGGAAAAATGCAGGCAAGAAGTTTCTAATGCTTGTATCCTCTGGTGGAAATTAGAGATGCTTAGAAAACTTGAAACCAAAAAAGAGCTGCAATTATTCTTGTTTTATCTGATTTCACCAAGAGCAGACAAAACTAGCATTCTGTTTACTCTTGCCTGTTTTAATCCCTGTTAGTTTCTAATGAATTCCCTACAAAGGAGACAGTCACTCTAGGAAAGCATACCAAAACCCTCCTGTTCCTGAGTCTCTTGTAATAAATGTGTCCAGTTGATCGCGCTGGTGTCTTGTTGGCCACGCTGGTGAGCTGTTCAGTGAGAACCTGTGTGCTGGTGGTGTGTGTGCATTAGGGTACGGAAGCTTGAGACGTATCAGGAGTACAAAGAGGCCGCATCTGCTTACCAGGAAGCCTGGAGCACACTCCGGAAGCAGGCATTTGGATCCTGGATCAGAAACCCACCAGATTATCACCAATTTAAATGAGAAGGGAAAATTTGCAAAAAACTTACTGGTAGCAAGGTGTTTTCCAGCCTTTCATGCCAGACCAGCTTCTTCCTTTATGCTAGACAAGCCTTAGCTTTTCTTGTGGCTGAGTCAGAACAAAACGTCCTCCATCTAGCTGATCTACATATCTCTTTTGTGTAAGATGAATGGAATTCTGGAACGTGGAACAATCTATACTGGATTGAAGTAGTTCTCTGCTGAAATGGCATCTTGCTAATGACCTCGGTATCTGTCCTAACTTGTATTTTATTGCTTCTCTAAAATTTTGAATAAGAATTTGAAATGTGATGCTTTAAATGTACTCTACAGTTGCTCTGTTTTGTGTGTTCCTACATTGATTCGGCAAGTATTTATTGGCCGAGATGATGTTTGAATCTCTGCAAATTCTAGAGCTTCACCTGGCAGAGTGGACATACATTTTGTATACCCAGCCTTTCTTCCTTCGGAGAGTCACCCTTTCATGCTCTGTCCATGAGACTTGGTTGAAGCAAACCTTACTCCCTGTGAGTCAGCCCTGGACATTCCTGAAACTATTACCAGAGCTAACAGCAAAGATTCTCCTCTTGTATCATAAGCTATAGGGACCACATAATCTTGGGACTTTGCCTGCCACATGGATACAGCCACCTTGAGAATGAAGGCAACAAAGAAAGAAANTATTTTAGCTGAGCCATCCTGCCACCTGTTGGCAGCTCAGCGGCAGCTCAGCTCGGGCTAGGCATCGAACCGGTGTTGCTCAGAGCTCAAACTCTTGAGTGAGCTCTTAACCAACTGAGCCACTCAGCCGGCCTATTTGCTGTAGGTTTTTATAGATACTGTTTATGAATTTAAATACCTTTCCTAAACCTAGTTTATCAAAGGTTTTAAATCATTCAATGGATGTTAAATTCTAACAAATGCTTTTTCTGCATATATTTTCCTCATAAATATATTACTGTTTTCCTTTAATCTGTTAATGAGATGAGTTCCATTCGTTTTTTTGGCTTTGGAGTTTTTTTAGTGTTAAAGCAGCCTTATATTCCTGAGTGCCAGCAGCCACTTAACCACAATTAAGACCCAGGGAGAGCAGCATGTGAGGGTTCAGGGTTCTGCTTTAAGCAGTGATTCCATTCAGTAGGCTGGGTCCCAGCCAGGGAAGGCAACTTTTTGGCAGGCTCTGTAATCCCTTCTTTCATATGTACGAGCATGGCCACTGTGTCCAAGCTGCTGGTACAGTTTGCATGTACGGTGAAGGGTATGGTGTGTAACGATGAGCCTACATATTGTGGGCACACACAACAGTTCCCAGCTTCTAGATCAGCTCATGAATTGTGTGTATGAGAGAAAGGAAGGAGGCACATACAATCCAGGCCACACCGACATGGATGGACCAAACCAAGAAGGCCCACGTGGGCTGGTAAGATATCCACACTTACTTCCTTCACTGGTCCAAACTGTGGCCTCCATGAAGCTTGATGCTAGAAGCAAAGGATTGGCCTCCGAAGGCCCATAATGCCCAGAGGGAGAGTCTGGAGATGCCGCCTCAGGTAGCTCGTCCAAGTGGGCTTCATAATCACAGTTCACACAGGGAGCAGCACTCGGGTCTTGGAAACAAAGTCATCAATTTCTTGTCAGCAGTATTACCCAGGGTGCCAGCTCCCTTGAAAGGAGGTAGCCAACATAGCTGATAGGTGTCCTGGGGGAAATTTAGTAATTCCACCTGTTTACCCGTTTGAACATGTCACCTTGATAGCTTCACTGATAATGACATTCTTAAGATGAGATTCATTTTTTTATGCCTAAACCGAATCAGATACTCAGGTCTAGATTTTCTCCTTGCTAGACTCAGATGAAAATGGGGGCTCTGGCACATTCAAACCTAAATACCATATGAAGCCTGGTATCTTTGACAGGGATCTGGTACACTGCAAACAATAAATTTTTTTTTTTT